CGCGCATGCATCTGAAATCCGGCTCGTCTAACAATACTGGTGGGGATATATCTTGTTATTATATATGGATAGAGACATGGCGGATCCTCGAACCACGCGTTATTATGGGTTTTCAATATAGTTTTGATATATGTTATATATTATATAACGAAACATTAAATGAAACTCATGATTAGTTGTTATAATCGAATTAAACCATAAAATGCTATTGAAATGATACTAATGTATCTTGAAAAGATTCTCCCGTCTTGATAAATAAATACTATTACAATTTCATTATACATGTATCTTAAAGTTTTAAAATTGTTTACAACAATTTTTTTACTTAATTTAAATTTGAAGTTCTTTTATAAATATTTAAAATTCCAAAATTAATATTGTAAACAATATTTTTTTAAATAAATTAAAGCGCAAATGTCAAATTTTTGTGATAAAAATTCTTTGCGATGACAAATTTTTCCGCCATATTGAATCCTTTATTTTGAATTTTGAAAATTTGACTTCAAATTCGAATTTAGTGACCTTAAAAACTTTGCTACTAAAATCATTACACAATTCTTAAAACTTTTTCTCAAAAACATTTTTGGCGCAGAACGTTTTTCTTTGCGTGACTATGCAAAAATTATCTCGGTGAAAAAAAAATGTACGGTGTGTTAAAAAAAATATTTTAAAGATATATAAAAGTTGGCACTTTAAGATGGCGTAAACGAAAGTAAGAAAAAAATTTACTTCACTAGCAAAAAATTCACAAATCAAGAGACACGGTAGTGTCTCGCGCCAAGTGGGCGCGCAGCGCGAGACACGCGTGTTTTTACGCGAATCAGCGAGTTGCGGGCATCCGAGCATCCGAAATTCTCGGTTTTTTTAATAAAGGCTAGACTGATCAAATTCTAAATATGAGCTCCATCGACACTTTGGGTCCGAAATATATAATAAACGTTTATTTTACCTTTATGTGTCCCACGAAGTGAGATATCGTGATGCGAAATCCGAAATGTCAAAATTTTATGTAAGATACGTCGCCTCAAAAAGTCATCTCCTTTTCATATTTTCGACGGTAGATGGCACTCGTTTATTGTTGTCATTTACCGACTTATTTATCTATAGTTTCATTAGCACTGTATTATGTGTCGACATTTCACTGTATAGTTACTTTAATACTTTAATAAGTTACTTTTAAATTAAAAGTGTATAAAAATATAAAACGGGCCGCTTGATGTGTGAACATCATTATGTATATGTTCATGCCTCGTTTATAGCCTCGCGGATTTGGTAACGGCATGAATATATACGCAATGACGTTCACACGTTAAGCGGTCAAGCGGCCCGTTTTTAATTTTTATATGCTTTAGATTTTTAGATTAAAATTACTCAGAAACTAAAGCCGCAATCAAAGATCTAAAAACACTTTTATTATATGTCGTCGGTATCTTTCGATTGCGATCAGTCCG